GAAGGGGGGGAAGGGGGAAAAAAGGGGGAAAGGGAAGGCAAACAAAAGACGTGGAGGATCACTAAGTAGGCAATTAAAACAAACAAAAGCTCAAATGAGCCTAGAAAAATAGCCAAAAGGCAACTAGGCGGAAAAAAGGAACTGGGGAAGATGGTGAGTGGGAGGAGCATATACCTCGTGAAGGATCACACCATAAAATTGTTACTTTTAGCTCTAGAATCTTCCGAGAGTCAGCGCAGGGGCAGCCAATACCCATATGTGTGCATTCACAGAGGCCACGAAAAAGAACCATATTTTCACTTCTTCTGTCAGAAAACCCGAATTGGACTTATTTTTAATTTTAATTCCTGCAGCAGGGAAACTTTTTTGTTCAGGCTTTTAAAAATGGAATGCTTCATGTAGCTGAGAGCTGTGTTTTTTTTTTCTCTTCTGTGTTTTTCTATTGCATTTTGTTTGTGGACTGAGCAGGCAATGGAGTCATCTTATAACTGCATTTCAAAATTTTTGCTTAGGACGTTCAGTTATCTTAAGAGCACATTGTACTGAAAGTTCAGGTTACAAGTCTAGTAACAACACTAATGAATGAATGAATGAATCCTTGCCACTTGGGCTCTGGAAGTTTCTCTCTCTTGATAGCTAACATTCACTAGGCATGACAACCTTAACTTGACAACTGCAAGGCTTATTTTTCGAAGATCAAAGCAGTGAGTTCCAGGATGCCAACTTTTTTTCTTTACTCAGGATTTGGACCCTAATAACATAAAAGACTTGGAGGGGTGTTTGCAAGGGGGGGTATGCCTGGAGAGAAGTTCAGACCTACCTATCTTGCAGCAGACTATTTGAGAGAGGAATTAAATTACGTGGAAAGTTTCAAACCACCAAAGCTTGGATAAGGAGTGTTCTTGTTCACACATTGTTTCTCACACTAGAAATGTAGCACTCCAATCGTCGATACATTTCAACCTCAAATTCATAAGCGGTTACAAACCCAGTCCCCTGCTCCTTGTCTAAAACTTATTGCTGCCACACCCACCCGTTCAATGGATCCACCACAATAGCTCGAGGGTGAGTCATTTTTCCTTCAATCAGTGTCTTCCTGGTCTGGGCAGCCTTTTCCAGACGGGCGACGCTGATGGTCTTCTTGGGCCCATCGTCTGTCCAGTAGAGGTTGTTTCCCATCCAGTCTACAGCAATGCCTTCAACATTGTGAATGCCTGGAAAGGGTTAGATCAACAAACAACTCAGCAAGGCCGTGCCAGGCAAATGGGGACACGTCAGACACTGAGGACTCAAGTGGAAGTGACAGGACCATATGAACGGTGCCATGTGCTCCTCCGGGTGATTGCTACTGAAACAGACAAGGCACGGGGCATGATGGACACACATGTGCCAAATGCACTACCTGCTTCAAAAACTGCAGAGGCAGAACAGAGAGTTTAGGCTCACACCTCCAGGCAATACCGTATAAAGAAATCCAACAAGTGTGAAAATAGTAAGATCTGCAGAATGCAACTCTTTCTAGGACTTACTGGCTGGCCTATTGGGTAAGCAAAATGATGTACTGACATCCAGTTTATATTGTTCTAAGGAAGATACAAACCACACTCTCACTACTCTGAATCCCATAGGCCATTCCACTGGAAAGCACACCAGCACTTCTAACATACTCAGGCAGGCCTTTGGCCAGGGAGAAAACAGGGCCCATACCATCTTTCAGGATCGTTTCCCTGTCGGTTCCATCAATCTTCTGACGACCAATAAGGTAGCTGGTGGTGTCAGCAAAGTAAATGAAGCCCGTCTCTGCATGAAAGTCCAGGGCTCTGGGATTCATCAAGTTTTCAATGGGGATCATGTGCTCATCGGGCACTTTGGCCCCCATGTCCATCCCACGTATGATGCCTGGCCGACCTTTGCCGTAGACAAGGAAGAGCTCATGCTCTGGCTCTGGAAGATAACAAGTGCAAAAGCTTTACAACAAAGACTTTGATTTCTATCCAGGCTTATCAAGAAGAGCGACACCTCCTTGCATTGACAAGAACCTAACTAACAGTCTTAAGAAACAAAGAAGATCCCAGCTGGATTTGAACACTAGGCTGTCTAGTCTGGCATCCTATTGCCCTTGATGTCCACAGACATGTCTCCAGGAAGCCCACAAAAAGAAGAAGGAAATGGCCACCTGATATACTTTATTTCCAACAATACACAGTGAATACAGATTGTCTTTGCATATCATTATAATCACTGTGTGGCATCAAGTCTATTCTGATTTCTGGTGACCTATTTTAGAGTTTTCCAGGTAGAGGATACACAGAAGTGGTTTAATATTTCCTTTTTCCAGGAGTGCCCTGGGACTGTGCAACTTGCCCAAGACCACACAGACTGGCTCGACTCACAGGAGGCACCGTGGGGAGTTGAACTCCCAACTTCTGCAGACAGATACCTATATCACTGAGTTATTCAGTCAGCTCAAAATGCTGCATACAGCTATCCCCAAATAGTAGACTCAGCTTCCAGGAGTTTGACCAAGCCCCTTTGAAGGCTAGAGATTCCTGCATATGAGAACATTTTTTTTCCATCTACATTCATGAAATAGAAGAAAGACCCAAGATTTCCAGTTTGGTCTACAGATGGAGGACATGTGGCCACCCAGGTGTTGCTGGAGTACAAATCCCATCATCCCTCACCTTTGGCTATGACCAGTGGGAGTTATAGCCCAATACTTGGAGGGACACGTGTATTCCAATTTTGGTTTAGTCAATGAAGACAGACATAATCTCTGATTTGACAGTGATATCAGGGAAACCTGACATGAAAATCATTTCAATATCATAGAAACATTGTTGTGGAGAAAGACCTAGGTGGGGCCTCTTCATTTGTGTTTGGATCTCACAAAATTGCAAATTGTTAATTGCATACCTGGTGATGTGTTGTATTGCAGTGCTTACCTGTATGATTATAATGAAGAGAGATGGATAGGAATTAAACCAGACTAAAAAAACAGGCTCCACTGACTCTCTGCCCTAGCTCAACTCGCTGTTGGTCACTCTACCTTCAACCCCATGAGCACCAAGGGCACCAGCTAACACTTGTAATCACATCCTGATGTAAAAGGATGGCATTTTAAAAAATCCAATGACTGGATGGTCCCAAGAGCAATAAGATGATGTGTAGAAAACTGGAAACCACACAGGACACACAGTCCTGTCCTTTTCCTATCGTTGCACTAAGCGTTCATCATATGTATCAGCAAGCTCTTGTCTAGAACCTTAAAAACTACTGAGTATTAATTTACTTTGGGGCTCAATATTTCTCCCTCTCTATTATATGAAAGTTGCTCTTGGTTAAGTCTACCACCACTACCTCTCATTATGCCACACTCTGCTAAATTAGTCTTGGCCCTTTAATACTTTCAGTTTGAGAAGGGTGATAGTAGCGGTGATGGTGGTAAGGAATATAGCCACAGACCCAGGAAAACCAATCAATGGCTTGGTCTGCAGCCCTTTGGTTCTGACAGAAGGAAACCAAGGCATCAGCAACTCCTCAGGCCTTTCCATGAAAATGAACTGCATGGAAAAAAGTTAGAATAAGATGAAGATATATATAGAGGGCAGATACTTGGTGACTGATCAGGTTATCTGAGAGATTTTATTTGCACTGTGGTGTTTTGCTAACAATTAATTCTTCTTGTGCAAGGATTTTTCCTTGCTAAAGTCAACCAGAATTCTAATGCCAATGAGCAGCTTTATCTTGCCACAGAAGCAGTTAGCTCATGTAGTGTTCTCTGTCATTGTAACACCACCTTGTATTCTGACACACTGAGCAAAGGCTGGCTTCACTTTCTTCTTACTACAAACATTCCTGTTCTTTTTCATGCAAAACCCAGGGTATTGGGAGCTTTCTATACTTCAGAACAGACTGAAAAAGCCTACTGGACCACCACAATCCCAAGTATGTGAAAACTGCGGTTTGGAAGTCTCTCTATCCGTGCTTCCTATCAATCAGCCAGACATGTCAATCACCCAGCCTCTTCAGATGCCTGGCGCCAGTTACCCCCAGTAACATGCACTGATTTGTAGCAATGGCTTACAGAGCCAGCTCACTAAAGCAAATTGTTACGTAGCACAACTGACCTTAAACAGCAGTTTAAAGCCAGATTGTCTTCAGCTCAGGCCCTTTCCCACCACACCATGCCCTCAGCATCTACATGCTACTTACTCTTGCAAGACTTCCCATCACTGCCTAGGCTGAATCCCGACCGGCACCGGCATGTCCGGGTCTTGTGGCTGTTTCCAAGGAGACAGATGTCAGAGCAGCCGCCAGGTTTACCAAACTGGTCTGGTTCACAGGCATGACTCCTCACTGCAACAAGAAATGAAAATCCATATGGCCTATTATCGTATAACAGTCATTCCTCGAATTCCATCATAGCATTTAAGATCAAACACCACTCTCTTGACAGGAGCCAAGTTTGAACAGAGAGGATTAGGGATGGGATATTCTATGCCACAGATATCACCATTCTCCATTCTGACAGTTCCATCTGCCTTACTGACACTGAAATGTGATGTACCTGGGGAAAAAAGGTCTCAGCTGGAAGGCTTTGAGGCTTAACAAGGCCTAGTACTGCCCAAGCTTCCTGTTCAGAAAGAAAGCTCCCAACTACCACTTAGGCAGGGACTGGAAAAAGAAACCTGGGAAGAGCTTGACCTAGTTAGGTATCAGATCATTTCCCACGGAGGCCCTTCTTCCAGGTGCTTAAGTGTCTGTAAGATAGGCTGCCTTTGACTGTGTGGACCACAGCAAACTGTGGCAAGTCCTTAAAGAAATGGGAATACCTGGCCACCTTATCTACTTCCTGAGAAACCTATATGTGGGACATGAAGCAACAGTTAGAGCTGGATATGGAACAACTGATTGGTTCAAAATTGGGAAAGGAGTACAACAAGTCTGTACATTGTCACCCAGCTTATTTAATTTATATGCAGAATACACCATGAGGAAGGCTGGACTGGAGGAATCCCAAACTGAAATTAAGATTTCTGGAAGAAATATCAACAACCTCAGATATGCAGATGATACCACTCTGATGGCAAAAAGTGAGGAGGAATTAAAACACCTCTTCATGAGGGTGAAAGAGGAGAGCACAAAAAATGGTCTGAAGCTCAGCATCAAAAAAAACTAAGATCATGGCCCCTGGTCCCATCACCTCCTGGAAAATAGAAGGGGAAGATATGGAGGTAGTGACAGATTTTACTTTCTTGGGCTCCATGATCACTGCAGATGGGGACGGCAGCCACGAAATTAAAAGACTCCTGCTTCTTGGGAGGAAAGCGATGACAAACCTTGACAGCATCTTAAAAAGCAGAGACATCACCTTGCTGACACAGGTCCACATAATCAAAGCTATGGTTTTTCCAGTGGCAATGCATGGAAGTGAGCGCTGGACCATAAAGAAGGTTGACCACTGAAGAATTGATGCTTTTGAATTGTGGTGCTGGAGGAGACTCTTGAGAATCCCCTGGACTGCAAGGAGAACAAACCTATTTGTTCTGAAGGAAATCAACCCTGAGTGCTCACTGGAAGGACAGATCCTGAAACTGAGGCTCCAATACTTTGCATTGGATAGGGTGCACTCTCAGAATGGAGAATCACTGTATTTGTAGTCCAAAAAATCCCATTTCTAGCTAGGATGTGTAAGGAGATTGGTCCTCTGAGAATGCATCACAACTGTTGAGCAGTGGTGCCTATGTACAAATGCATAGATTCTTTGGAAACAACAATATCAAGACGTATGAATATTTTCCCTGCTCTAGGTATGAAGCTCTGTATTTCTTCCCTATCTCTTTACATTGACATTAAAGGTCTGCAAATCCAATTTCACTAATGCCAGAACTATCTAGTACTATTCACTGAAAGGAGGTTCAAAGTTCCTATTTAAGCACACAAATCCCACCTATGTCATAATAAAACTATGTGAGGATTGCTTTTATCAGATAAGATATTACTAGAGGCTGAAGAAGGCTTATTCCAGCTGCTCTTGCTAAAATCGCTGTCTGATCTGGAGATGGCGCAACAACCGGCTGAGTAACTAAAAAAATTTATTGGAAAACCGCTGGGTGTATTTAATTTCAAATGTTAATGAGAAGCTCAAGGCAGTTTTACAAAAACCAAGAGGAAACGTTTTACATATAAAATAATCAGCAAATAAAAGTGTGGGGGAGAGTCGGAAAATTTTAAATACTTCAGATGCTGTTGGATTTTGTGGGTCTTTCAAAAGAGCTCTCTAAATGGCTGGTGTGGGATTGACAGAAAATAAATACTTATCCATTTCCCTCCTCCTTCCCTCGGTTCAAAATACCTGCTGTAACAAGCAGAGCACGTTCTATCTGGCTAATGGGCTAATCCAGTTAGCAACCCTGGGTTCAGATTTGCTACAACTAAGGAGTGAGTGGACATGACAGCAATGGTGCACCAAAAACAGATTGTGCAAATGATCTGTACTTCTCCTTCCAACCTCCTAGGCAGCATACATTTGCTATGGTGAAATGCATGTTTTTGTAGCATATGCCTTGGATGATGGTTGCAAAAGGTGCTGCTTGGGTCATGTCTCCAAACCCAAAAAGAGGAAGTGAGAGTCACACATGTGTCCTTTTCTTGACATTTCTGAGCAACATCCAAAGCAGTTTCACTTCCCTGTCACATCAAGCATGTCAGAAACTCGTGCTAAGGAATAGTAAGTTTAAAGGTTAACTGTTGTGCCGTTTTCCTCAACGGAAATCCATGTGCCTGGAGAAGATCCCAAGGTCCACATGCTAACTCTTTTTCACTCTGGTGCCCAAAGGTCCTGCCCAGATTTGCCAATTTGGATGTGGGGTGGATCAGGCTATATAGGATCTGCTGAGCTTGTAGGATTTGCCATTTGGTGTGCTCCTCTCGTCCAAACAGCCAACAAGCCCTTGGAGCCTGATCAACTGCCAATTAAACACTGCCCTAGATTGTCTGTGGAAGGTCAGGAGAAGTGAAATTATTTTTTACGTCATTCCACTTTCCCTTTGTCGGTGGTATTTTGTTTTCTCCCTTCCCCTGTCCCTGCTTCCCTTCCCTTGTTCTCGCCACCACTTTCTCTCTTCCCCCTCAGAATCTATAACCATGATGGCAGGGGCTGCTGGAGGCTGCTATCTCCTTGGCCAAACAGGCAAAACAATGAGTATGCCGAAAAGAATACAATGCCCTACCACCAGGCCAGAAAGGTACGCAACAGCTCTAAAGGGAAAGGAAGGATCATTCTATGTAGAAAATGCTTGCGTATGGGGTCTTTTTTCCTGATCTAAACTGTGTCATCAATGATCCATGTACCATATCTATATGCCTGTGTGGGAAGGACCATAGATAGGGAGGTCTGGTGAGATGGATGCTTTTCACCCTGAAGCCTTCTGATTAGTTTTATGGTTCAGCAAATGCTAAGAATTCTGCCAAAGACCCTAAGAGGATTTTCAACTCATTGAAGTGAGGGAGACTCTTGGCGAGATGGGTGGTGGCAGTGATGATGATGACTGATGGAAAGGGAGGGAATGAAATACACAGCCAGGTGTAGGAAAGAAGAAAATTTGTCAACTGCAGCCCAATGATTTTCTAAGGAGCACTGTGACCTAGTCAAATGTCTCTGCTCTGGGGAAGTAGCAGTGACACCCCTTAGAGAAAGCCATTAATATTTCAAGATGCCACATCTGCTTAATTCTTCCCTTTTCTGCAAGGCAGTAATTAATCAATCAATCATACGCTACAGAATCTCCTCTGGGGACAGCATTCAAGATTGCTCTTTCTCTATCACTACCCTTCTTCCCTCGTCCTATCTCTCTGCAAGAGCAGCCAGAAGATATTATAATGTTCAGGAGGCCCACGTGGGGCATAGGCAATGTCTTGCATTTCAGGAAAAGGTAGATTATTAGATTTGAGGTCAGGAACAGCCAATAACACAAAGATCGGTCATGTTGGCAACGATTTCCAGTAACCCAGCTTTTAATTAAGAGTGATAGACAAGGCTGTAGTTTGAAATCAGTGCCAACACTTCTGAAAGCATCAGATATCCATCTGTATCAAAAGTAGGAGAAATTGATCCAGGGAAGCCACTTAAGTGATGTCACAAAAAGGTTAGTAATCTCCCACCCTGAACAGGTTTAATAAAAGCTACAATTAGGTCTAAGGAATGTTTACATCTCTACTCTATACACTGCTTCTTAGAATAGAATGACTGAATATTATACATACAACCCCGAAATACAAAATGTCCCCTATAGAGTGCTAAACCACTGGTATAGCAAAGGCCTACCAAAGGCCATTTCACACATACGGCACAACAAGAAACAAAGGTTTACAAAAAGGTACAACCAAACCCAACTGTGTTGAGTGTTTATGCATGACAAATCCAGAGCTTGGAAATAATTTGCTACAAGTAATATGGTTACTTGTAACTAGCTGCTTTTGAATCAATGAGGGTATAAATCTAAGTAAAATCTGAAATGTAACATAGCAAGTGGTTTCAAAGTTACTGTTTTGATACAACAAACCTTTCCTAGTTAATTTCAAAAATTCCTGTTGAAGAGCATTTGAATAATAAGAATATTCTTAAAACTGATTTTGAAGTTTAAAAAAAAAATTCCAAGCTTGTTCTAAGCTTTTCATGTGTCTTTTGTATTTCCAAGGTAGAAATCACAACTGACCATTACAGAATACCTCCCTGTATTTTCCTAGTGGGCTGCTAAGCAAAATGCATTCATAATGCACTGCTGGGGTGTATTTTTCATTCCATCAGCCAGGTAGGCCACAGGGCCAGAGTTGTTATGAGGCAGAGGGAGGCAGCCAGTTAAGGCAAGACATTTTGGGAGTCTTAGGAAGTTAGCAAACTGTTAAATGCTTTATTATTATTATATTTTTACTCTCAGATGCAGGGGGAGGCACCTGCATGGTTTCTGCCTCACACATCACAATAAACTGGGCACCTTTCATTTCCATACACTTTCAAATGTGGGCGGAAGATGCCATTTGCTCCCCAGCCTCAGACAGAACAATGTGTTTGGCTTCACTCTGACAAGCATAATGTCTTGAGTCTGCACTGGCGCCCTTCACCAACCAGCTTTCCCCGTAGATTTGTTGGACTATAACTCTCATCATTTCCCAACCATAAATAGGCTGGTAAAGCTAAGTTGAGCTAAAACAGAAAATCAGCAAGTGCACTCTAGGCCACCTTTACTACAAGTGTCACTCAAACTTGAAAAGTGTAAGGTATGTTGCAGCTGCTGGCAAAAATTAGTAAACTAATTTGTGCTGCTAAAAGCCTTTGGATGCAAGAGCAAATAATGCAAATTGACCCTTAAATATCCCAGCTAATTAGTTGCGTTTTTGAAGCATCTGCTGGGAGGCAGGAGGAATGGTATCAGCCACTGGCAGCTATCAGGGCAGTCTTGTGAAACCAGAACAAGAAGGGATGGATTTTCAACATGTAAAGGTCTGCTGAGTAACAACTTAAAAGATCACCTCGTCATTCAACTCTCAGACCTCCAGATGCCAAAGGGATGGCTGCCCTAATCTGTTTCAGCAAAAGAAAGAAAAACAGCTATTGGCTGGTTTTTTACAAAGCAGTCATACGCATGTTCATTCAGAAGTAAGTTTCTTTGTTTCCAAGGATGCTTACTCTGCAGCAAATGTGTTAGAGTGTCAGCTTTACTATGACATCAGTTTTCAAGCTCCTGGGCTGTTTTCATCAAAAATTTCCAAGAAAAGGGAACTATAAGCAAGAATCCTAACCATCCTAAATGAAAGCTAAACAGACAAACAAAGACCTTGAATTGGTTCGCAACATGTTTGATACAATTTATCACATTCTGCTTAAAATGCACCTGAGAACTTGGCTTATATCATACAGTAGTTCCACTTCCTACCCTGAGTCCAGTAAGATTTTTCCTTAAACTCTGGAGCAGAATGGGAAGGTCCTCTGGTTGGTCTCAGGCTGACAAGAGCTAGAATCACATGGAACCTTAAAGTGCCAAACCTTTAAGACCACAGATGCCATTAGCTAAAATCTAGCAAATTAAGCTTGGCAGTTCTGTATAGATAATGCTCCAAAACAGACTGATCTTTGAGGAGATTATACTGCTGGGCAAGCGTTACCATTGTAAGATTGGAAAGGCCTGAATTAATACATCCAGTTCTAAATAATAACCAGGATAAACACATCCTTATAAACAAGCAAGGACTGCATAATGGGGCATATGGTTCTAACCTCTTTTACTTAAAACAGTCCCTCAGAGGGATCACACCTTTCTCCAAACCCACATGGTGCCAGACATAGGGCTTTGATGTCCATTCTGGGAAGAGGTCTCCAGATCATTGACAAGGGAATGGAAGGATGGCCATAGTATTCCATGCTGCTATTCAGCATGCTCATAAGAAAGATGAACCACCTATGAAATGAAATATGACACTAAAGAGGTTCATCAATCTATTTCATATTACCTGGCCAAGTGTGAAAGAGAAGGGGTAGGGGGGAAGGAAAGAGAGTAAACTGATTCTATGTTGATGATGATAATTAGGCCACAAGCCTGGAGCAACCAGAGATAGGTGATAAATGGGATGCCGGAAAAGTGGCTGAATCAGTCTGTGTGATGTAAATGACCTGGTATACAAGAACAGATTACCCAATTTAATGCCATGCTGACAATAGCTGTGGGAAAAAATACAGCAGCAACAAACACAATGGAGCAAATGTATGAACTCTGATACTGTGTGAGAACAGGACGCAGATATTTCTAGTGTCTATACCTTTGTGCTTTTGTAAATGAATGTCAATGATGTATATCAATGGTTCCCAACCTCAGGTTCCCAGAGGTTGTTAGACTACAACTCCCAGAAATCCTGGCCAGCACAGATTGTGTGAAGGTCTCTGAGAGTTTTAATCCAAGAACCTCTGGGGACTATCATACTGCTGAAGTGTATGCGCATGTTATTCTGTGTATGCACAGAATAACGAGTGGTATTCTGATATCATGACCAAAGATCATTAATTTTGTTTAACAGCTGCTAAATCAGAACAGCAGCCAATCAACACACATCTCCACCATTGAGCATTAGGTTGATATAAGCAACCACAGCTACAACAGTTTTGCTGGGCATTTTTATTGTTCTTCAATCCTATCAAATCGCAACGTTTCTGCTCTATCCATTCCTCATTTTGGCCCTTGCTTATCTACCTTTGGGTTGTCGTCGCTGATGGTAGATGTGTAGAGCTCCACCCTTATCCACCCGGGTTACAACGTGGAAGTCACTGCTGTTGAATCGATTGACTCGGATGACACTAGTTTTCTGCTGAGCATTGGCATTGTCTGAGTTGGTGGCATACAGGTAGTTCTCAAAGACAGTCAGCCCATAGAGATGTTCTATCTGGAAGACACAAATGTGAACTTGTACATGTGAGGCAGCTCTGGAGACTGAAGGCTTCTAATTTTGTTCTGTGCTGTCTAGCTTGGCCTGCCTTTCTTAGACCATTTAAAACAATTCCCTCTATTAGTCCTCTTCAGCATATTCCTAGTCTCTGACTATAGCATGCTATAATTCAAAAGAAGAAGAGCACATTCCAGGGGAAAGGCTCATTGTTGACCTTCAGATCTCTTCCAGCTCTTGTGATCTGTGTATTACTTGCTTGCGTTGAACAGACGCCTCTGCACTGAGCCTCAGTGCTGCTGAAGTTTGCTGCATGGTTGTCGTAGTTAAGGAAACAACAACAGCATTCATTTCTCAAATGCAGCAAGACAAGCACAGCAAACAAGAGAGTTTTCTTGCCTTGAAGGATCTAAACCTGGACGTCTCGTGAACAAGGCTGGCTTCATCCACTGCATCACAACAACTGTCTATAATCTGCAGCTGCCTAAGACATTTATTTCTCTTCTCCATAAAAAAGATTTACCTTCCACTTAGGAGACTCCTAGCACTGCACTGCATTCATCCTAGAAATTCCACCTCCCCTATAGCCCCAACATCTTCAGAATCCAACAGGTCAGGTTTTTAGGAATGCAACTGTCTTTGAACCTCAATCAACTTAAGTCAAATTATGTTCCATTTATGTTGAGTATAATAAGGCAAAAGCCTGGCTCTGTGAGATACTGAGATTTCCAAAGATAGGGATACATCAGAAGGGAACAGGAACTGGTGATAGCAATTCCATGGCCCGACAGCTATTCTCTGACTCCACTACAGGATTTCTCTCACACAACACTCACCAAGAGACCCTGGATAATAGTGTGCCGGTTCTTTCCTTCATAATCCACCACTTCAATGTAATCAAGGTAAGCATCAGCCCAATAAACCAACCGGTTGACCAAATCTAGGGTGATGCCATGGGGAAAGACAATCTTGGTGTCTACCAACTTTGTCCGGTTCTGCCCATCCATGTCACAACGCTCCACTTTTGGTATCTGCCCATAGTCTGTGAAGAAAACTTTCCTGTAAGAAGAAAGAATAAGATATGATGAACTCTACAAAGATATGTGGGAAGTAAATAATAATAAATAATAAATAATAAATAATAAATAATAAATACTACTACTACTACTACTACTACTACTACTACTACTACTACTACTACTACTACTAATAATAATAATAATAATAATAATAATAATAATAATAATAATAATAATAATAATAATAATAATAATAATAATAATAATAATAATAATAATAATAATAATAATAATAATAATAATAATAATAATAATAATAATAATAATAATAATAATAATAATAATAATAATAATAATAATAATAATAATAATAATAATAATAATAATAATAATAATAATAATAATAATAATAATAATAATAATAATAATAATAATAATAATAATAATAATAATAATAATAATAATAATAATAATAATAATAATAATAATAAAATTTGTGGGAAGTGTATTTTCTTAAGCTAGTGGAAAGTGAATGTAGATGTTAGTGGACAAACATCTACAAAGAATCATCACAATCTTCACAGTGCAGGTTCATTGACTGTGACCTTTCTTTTTCAATTACAATGGAAGTGGACGTTGGCTTTATTACTAGTTAATCCCTTCTTTCTTTCTTTCTTTCTTTCTTTCTTTCTTTGTATCAGAGTGTTGCACAATTTAAAATTATGAACATACATGAAATATAAATAAAGTTAATAACAAATTAAAAATGTTAACTAAATGTGACTATTTTTGACCAGAAGCAAGCTACTCAAAAAACATGTATCGGCCATTTGCTAGATCTTCTTTTGTACACATGGTGGGGCATAAATTGCATGCATATGAATACTGCACTAATTGAATTTCCCCCCAGTCAAGAAAAAATTGTCCTATATCCAAGTAGCCTCATTCTACTTGGTTATTCTTTGATCTTCCTACTTCACTTCAGAGTCTACTAAGAGATTTCCAGATGGTCTTGCCTGGGTGGGATCACTAAGCAAGGTGTGTTGTTTTTGTTTTCCATAGAGTTAGTCTAGCCTCTTCTGGTTTAGTATTTAGAGCTTGAGATGGGGGCATAAAACATGCCCTCAATTTTAGCCGACATCAAAGCATTGCGTTACATGATTGTTCAGGTTCCTTCCACATTTACTGTACTCTAGGTCTTTGGTGAAATCTACAGGGAGCTGTCCAGGCTTATAATCTAGTCCCACCCCCCTCTCAAGTAATGCAGAATGACTTTTAAAATGACTTTTAAAAATTAGATTTTAAAAACTGTTTTGTTAGAAGCTCAAAGCTGTAACTCAGTGCTGTCATTCTTCATTTTAAAGAGTGATCTTTAAATGCATATGAAATAACATGCATTCTTTTCAAAAACAGTGGTTCCTTTTACATGTAGTTCCTCTTAAAGCAAATTCTCTCCTAAGGCTTTATGGTTTTTACATCTGAAGATCTTGGTCTATGTTTGTTGACTCAGATGAAAACCCCATTCCTCATCACCTGCCTGCAGCCCTATATTGAAGATTTGATTGCAAAGCTAACTTATCCTCATAGGCCATTTCCTTGCTTCTCTGTATTTTAAACTACACTCCTATACTCACTGACCTGGGAGTAATCCCCAATGAAATCAATGGTGCTTACTTCTGAGTTTGCATGCATAGGATTATGCTGTTAGCATTTAAGAGCTGGTGGAGAGGTTTTGAAACAGCAGAGACAAAAAGAGCATAATTCGTTTCTGCCTGCTGCTTTCCAGGCTGCCCTCATTCACCTTCCCTTTCGTGTACCTATAAACTGCTAGAGCCAGCTGCCAGAAAGTCCCAAGCATCTCCCTGGCCTTCCTCTCAATGAGGCAGTGTGGTATGGTTTCTGGCAACAGAGAGTGTGTGCGTCTTTCCTTATTTGCCAGGGATCATCCAACACCAGGATACCAATTGTTAGAAAAGCGTATTTCAAGCATTTCACTTCGGCAAACTCAAGTGAAGGTGGAGGGCGGAGACAGAGGGAGAGGGAGAAAGAAAAAGAGGGAGACAGAAGTATCATAACACATGTCAGAAAGATAAGGCAAACACTAGATGGCAGTCTACAGTATGATTTGGCTACATTAAGAGCCCTCTACATCTTCTATCTCTACAGGGGTAAAAAAAATGAGGTAAGTGCAGAAGAGGGCTTACTTGGATATCTAGTGTCTACCAAGCTGTTAGGGTGATACAAAATGCTACAAAACACAGAGGCACACACAAGCATTTTATTTTACGAATTAGGGCTAAAGCCAATTTCTGAGAGTTTAGGGCAAGGATCCCAGAAGGGCAGATTAACTTTATCTATCCCACACAAGGCCCTAACAGACATTTGGATTATAGGGTCTTAAACGTGACACCATGAAGGGTCGATGAAGGCAGTCAATGAAGTAAATGTCCTACTTAACTCCTATCTCAAAAAAAAAAAAAATCCTCTCACACACGGCGGGGGCAGAGGGAGAGAGATCATCACCATTGTACAAGGATCAAGGTGGCAGTCTTAAGGATCCACTGTGACTTGTGTGCCTTTGACAAGTGGGCAGAAGTACCTATGGCGAAGAACTGGCAGTGACAGCCATGCCACCATCCCTAACTTTTTGCCATCTCAGACAACTATCTCACTCCAAATAATGACCAGTCTGGTCCTGGTTAAATTCTTTCTCTCGTACAAATCCCGCCCCACGCGTTTCCTAAAAGCAAAGAAACACATGGGCTATATGCCATTAAATCCTGGCAGAGCTTAGTTTCATGTCAACCAATTTCACACATCTGCTTCACATGTTCAGCCACTTAAAATTCCATGACTCTCATAATTCCTCCACTGCTGCTATCACTCCCGGTAATATCGTCGTTTAGTTGTTTAGTCGTGTCCGACTCTTCGTGACCCCATGGACCAGAGCATGCCAGGCCCTCCTATCTTCCACTGCCTCCCGGAGTTGTGTCAAATTCATGTTGGCCCAGTAATATATTTAACATTTAATTAATGTCACTATTCTGCTCAATACTGCATAGGACACAGAGGGGGCTGCATTTGGGCACTAAGGAGTTAAAACAACCCACTGAAGGCAGACAGGTGAGGGGGAAAAAAAACCCAGAGGCTGACCAATGAGTCAGGAGGAAGAAATTACTGGAGAGGATTAAGATAAGCCAAAGCACTGGCAAGATGGCACAGGGGAGTTCAGACTTTGCAAAGCACCGGCCTTCAGGACAGACAAGAAGGAAATGAATGGTCATATAAAAATGAAGACATGTCCTAGCCATAGGGTGCAACTTGGCAGAAGGCACAGATGCATAACTGAATAAGCAGACAATGGGTGTTAAACAGCAGAAATGCCATTCTTAAATTTAAGAAGTTAAAAACTATCAAGACTTGGTTGAAATGGCGCACTCTGCATTACTTATACATTGTGGCTGCAAAATTCTGGCATACATGGGTGCCCACTGGGAACAGTGGGTGGGGAGGAACTTTTGTGCTCACTCTCTTTTTATCCTACAGCTATTATTGAACTTAACAAGGAACTTAAGAAACAGTAGCAGTGAGTTGCTGGACTGTATTACTATTAGTTGGTCTGTTGTGTTGTATGTTGTATGGATACTGTGTGCTCCTAGGTGAGGTTCTGGGTTTTAGAATTGTTATAAGGGTGTGTGTGTTTTGGTCTGGTCTCCGAGTGTTCTTTGTGAATTTCACTGTATGTGTATACAGTGTATATATGTTCAATTGCATTATTATTATT